CACACACACACACACACACACACACACACACACACACACACACACACACACCCACACACACACACACACACACACACACACACACACTTCTCCGCCTCATTCTGTTTTCATTTAGGAGAGGAAGGTACAAACCAAACGTGGAAATCACCTGAAATCCCAAAACACAAGAAGATTCATCATCGTTATGAAACTCACTCTACTCGTTGGTCGTATTTAAACAGTTCCACAGTTTGTTTGCTTTAAATAGATTTATTCGGTTGACATTACACACAAGAGAAAAACAGTTCATTTACATTTTGGTCCTTTTTTAAACATTTATACGTCCAACAAACACACACAGAAATCCCCTTTGAACCCTTTGGTCTGTTCCGTTTGGATGGGCTTTCTTAAATCTGTATTCTGATCAGTGTGTTGGAGGAAAGTCTGGACAGCAGCTCTGAGTCTGAGGCTGGAAAACCCCAAACTTCCCCTCACAGGTCGCTGGGATTCACCTCTAACGTGATGTTTCAAATGAAGTGGGTCGAGGAGACGCACTCATCGGAAAACAAATAACATTTTAAGGCAAGACTTTTGCACAAACATTGCATAGTTATTGTTGTTGACACACAAACAAAAAACACATTTATTATACACGCTAACAAAGAGGGAATTCACAGGAAGTATTTCAGGCAGATTTAGCTTTGGATAGTGTGCAAAGAAATATACATAATAATGACATCATGATGCAATTAAATACAACAGCGCCTTAAAACGCAACGTAAATCAAAAAGGTGTTTTTGGTCTCGAGAAAAACACAGAAAAAGGTGGAAGAATTATTCAGTATTTTCCACTAAATATCTGGATTTAAAAAGGCGTGGTTTTTGCATGCGTCGTTTGTTGAAGGGAAATATTGGTCAGTCGGCTTTCCTCCCAAATAAACCCCACTGAACCGGCAAAGGAATACACCTGTTGAAAAGTACGTCAGCCGTCTTCAAACTGGAATATAACAGCAGAACGTGTTTTAAATGTGCGTCTGGACGGACAAGGTCATTTGATAATGAAAAAGAATCAAGTATATTACATAGTTATATAGTTTGCTTCGGTCCTTGTTTGATCCCCCTTTGTTTGATCCCCTTTGTTTGATCCCCTTTGTTTGATCCCCTTTGTTTGATCCCCTTGGTGCTGTATCCACCTCTCGTGAGTTTACCAAGAAGAAGATCGGGTTTTAGGGCTGATTAAGCTGATTCGTTTCAGGGTATTAGGACTCATTTTGCCGGCTTATATATTTCCGGGTTTTAAGACTCATTATGCCGACTCATTTCAGGGTTTAAGGACTTATTTTTGATGACTAATTTCAGCATTTTACAACCTGGTATGCTGACTAATTTGAGGGTTTTAGGACTCATTCCCGCACCTCTCTTTGTTGAGCATGGACCGATAGACTCGCTTCTTTTACGTCACATCTAATCTCTGACCCAGAACAAAGCACCGGCTCTCAGATGAACCAGATTCTGAGCTTTTTAGTGAAATAGCTTCCGGTTATGAATGAGCAGTTTTTGATCCACAGGAAGCGGTAGAAATGTTTTCCAGCCGTTTCAGAGGCTGAGAGTTTCTGACTGCGGAGGATTTGGAGTTCAAAGGAAAGCTTAGTGCCGCTCAGGATTATAGATTTACTCCAAACACACGGAGACAGAGTTCAGAAAACTGCAAGTCTGTGGAAAAATATATGAAGTACACAAACAATTCGTCTAGAGGCGTCGGGTTCATATCTATTATATCAAATATGTCTCTAGATAAAAACCCAATTATTAGCCGACTGATTGGGAAATTAGAGACATCTCACTCATTCCTTGTAGCAAGCATTTCATATATTGAAGGTTATAACTTAATCAACTCAAAATGGAAGGAGCTTTGAATGAAATATATGAAGTGGAAAAAATAAACATAAGAATTGGAAATACAGTTTGGGGAAGAACGGGTGGATATAATAATGATGCAGACAAAATGGATGGAGTCCTATTTGGTCATTAGATATTTCATTTTACATTATTTCCCTTATTTTTTACTTTATTTTATCAATGACATAAATAATAATCCTGATACATTTTCTGTAATCTTTTTTTTTTTTTTAAATTGATGACTAACCTCTGATTTGCTGATTATTTAAATATATTTTTAGCGTTATTTTATTTTGTTGTATTTTAGAAAAATACCAGAATAATGATTTTAGACACTTTTAGAGCAGAAAAAAATAACAATTACATATTTTTCAAGCCTTTTTAAACCTGAATAAACTCAGTCAACATTTATAATATTTAATTAACTTCTAATCTATTTAACTTCCCCATTACTGTAGCAAACACTCGCCTGAAATCAAACCCAACCTCTACTTCCTGTATAAATAAACCCAACCTGACCGAGCGTCTTCAGTCCATTAATCCCAAAAACATCCGAACTCGAGGCTGATTCTTTTTAGTGTCGTCAACTCTCCTCCAACCAGGACGGAGCGTCGACAGCTGGGCTCGTGAGGCGTTCACTGACCTGCTGGACGTTTTTTTGCAGGAAATTCTGACACGATAAACTGTGAGCGGCGACGGCGGTGTGAAGCAGAAACAGCTGCTGGTGGAGGACCTTCACCTGCGGGGAGGATACAGATATATCAAGAATAAATCATATTATATTTCATATTCTCTGTCAAAACCATTCTGTCATGCACCATATCTGACGAAATGTCACATATTATCTGGTTGCATTTTCTCTAATATATTAATTTTCAGGTTTTCTTAGTCATATGTGACATTAAACATCTTGAAGTATTTTTTTGATTTTTTCAGAATTGCAAAAAAAGTGATTTTTCAAGTAAATAATACAAATAATTGTTAGTTGGAGCCATGGGGACTCACTTAATTTATACAGAATACACATATATATATAGATAATTATGCTATATTTGTATGAAACATCAATAACAAAAGGTTATTTATAGCTAAGTATTGTATTACTGTATTTTACAGCTTCACTAATATATAATATAAGTGTGTTTGTGATCACAGTAGTGAAATAAGACCCTACTCCTCCCACCTTGTTCTCCTGCAGCAGCTTGACTTTGACGGACAGGTCCTCTCTGATCCTCTGGTACTGTTCCCTCTGGCTCTGGAAGTCTCTCTGCGCCTGCTCCAGTTTGGGAAGAGTTTCGGGGTCTCGGGGTCCGAGGTTCAGCTCCTCCAGATCCACACGGTACGCATCGTACTGGATCCTGGGAACAGAGGGAAGTTCAACATCTACAGCAGCGGTGTTTCATATTTCTGACGGGGTATCACAACAAAAACTAGAAGGGCGTTCGGAGAGAGAAGTAGTCATTGGATTCAACCCAAGTTTCAAGGAGCCTTCCCTTGACCCTTTCCCAAGGCGTGTAGTTTTTCTGTTATCCACCAGGGCTCAAAAACAAGGTAATAACGAAAATTCAAAAAGGCAAATCTTTGAGCGTTTTTTTACTTTTAACGATTTCCCTTGTTTTCACAATCCAATACCTTCCCTCATGCTGTGTTGAAGTCACTTCAAATACATTTATTTTGTTATGTTTGTGTCTTCAGCTAGTCACTGCAGACACTACATTTCCCATAATGCCTTTCTTTGCCGACTACAAACCGTAACTTTCCTTGTTTGCAGAATTGCCGGCTCATCTTTTATGGGTGCAGATATTAGCATCTCCTTGATTGGATTTTAAAACAGTGGACAGGAAACAGGAAGTGTGTGTATCCCCACCTGCCGGCCTCGTACTGCTTGGCGTTGATCATGGTGTCCTCGATGGTTTTGTTCACCAGCGTGTTCATGTCGGAGGTGAAAACGTTCACGGCCGTCGTCAGCGTCTCGTTGCTCTTCGACAGAAACCTCTGAGCTTCGGCGTTCAGACCGAACTCCACCTGAAGAGACGGAGACGTTTTAACATTTCTGACATGTTTCTGACTGTAACATCTAAAAAAATTACATTTTACAACAAGTCCTATTTTATTGTTTCATCAAAAGCTAGACTCACGTGCAGCGTCGGTGTTTTGACGCTGAGATCGGCGAAGGCGTCCCCCAGTGTCTTCTGGGTAACGGAGAACTGAGTGAGCTGATTGGCCAGCGTCTGAGCGAGCTTGGTCATGTGATCGTAGCGCTGCCGGTCGTCCTTCAGAAGCTCCAGCCGAGGCTCCAGGTCCAGATCCACGGTCCGAGAACCACGACCCAGTTTCTCCGAAAGAGCCTGCCTTGCGCACTGCAGGAGGAATATTTGAATATTTATCTATAAAAAGTGGTGCAAACTTAGAAAAACATCATCGCTAGGGGTCATCACCCAATATATAAAAAAAATAAAATAAAAAAAAACATGTTCTGCATATCTACAGTTAGGAAACAGGCATATAAATGTGTTTGGTGAAACAGCGCCCCCACCTTCCATCTGTGGCCATTCAGGCATAGAGTGGTACTGCAGGTAGACAGCGTTAGTTTTTCTATTTATTAGAATTTGTATCAATAAATGGTGGTTCAAACTTAGAAAATACATAATGGAAAGGGTCGTCTTCCAATATTTTAAAAATAAAAATAAATTAAAACCAATTGTCTGCATATCTACAGTTAGGAAAACAGGCATATAAATGTGTTATGGTGAAACAGCGCCCCCACCTCCCAATTAGTCACCTTTCAGGCAGAGAAGGGTACTGCAGGTAGAGGATTTTAAATCTAAATTAAATGTATAATTATAGTGTTATAAAATATGTCTCTCACCTTGTATCTGGTGATGCTCCACTTGCGGACTCTTTCCAGCTTCTCAGTGGCCGGGTTGTTGTTGTTTCCTTGAATAACCACAGATTCGTTTTTCTGAGGGGTCCCTGAAGGGGTCGGGGTCAACAGTTAATATGGATTCACATCACAGCAAAACAACGTAAATAAAGTAAACAATATATTTAGTTTACCTTCAAAGCTGAACACTGGTGGGGCCTCAGCTGGACAGGAAGTGACATCGTTGTCTGCGTGGTTGCAGTTACTGTTAGCATCCTGTAGAGATTTAAAAGGAAGTCAGACACTAGATAATGATATACATCTGACTGCAGCAGGAGAGGACTCTTTAAAGTAGAGACACTACATACTGATATACATCTGAACATCAGCAGGAGAGGACTCTTTAAAGTAGAGACACTACATACTGATATACATCTGAACATCAGCAGGAGAGGACTCTTTAAAGTAGAGACACTACATACTGATATACACCTGAACATCAGCAGGAGAGGACTCTTTAAAGTAGAGACACTACATACTGATATACACCTGAACATCAGCAGGAGAGGACTCTTTAAAGTAGAGACACTACATACTGATATACATCTGAACATCAGCAGGAGAGGACTCTTTAAAGTAGATACACAAGCAGTCCAAACCTTGTGTACCTTTGCTCCAAAAGTAGCGCTGATCTCTCTATACAAAGGAGCTTAACTTGTTTACTTCAAGGAGCTGAATTAAAGTCCGTAAAAAGCAGATTTGACAGCGAGCTCGCAGGTTCAAATCCCACTCTACACTTCTTTTATGCCACTGCCCAGAAACCCTACAGCAATCAATAAAAACTAGATTTTTTATTTCCCACTGCATTTGAAGGCAGTTCTTCCTCTCCTTTTTCCTCTCAGTTCCTCGAACAGGAACTGAGAGGTCAGAGGTCAGAAATCAAAGCGCCGTGGCAACCTGAGGATCGCCGTGGGAACCGGGAGATT